CAACGCAACAAGGAGTAAAGTCTCAGGAGGCCATCAAGGCCATGTCAGTAACACGAACGCATGGTCAGGTGAGCGCAGGATGTCAATAGCTCGAACGCCTGGCTACGAGTGGCCATGAGCTGAGGGGTGAGAATGTCAAGAGGCCTAGCAGGTAGGTCGGTGGCTGGGAGACCGTTCATTCCCCATCTACTCGTCTGAGGCGCCTTCCTACTTCAAGAATCGGCTTCCCACTTCATGTTCCTGCCTACTTCCGACCGACGTGTAATGCGTCTGGTAAGGGGGCCAAGGGATCAAGCGAGCAAGACAGGTGAATCGCTCGCACCCCTCCCTCCCCCCTTCACGGACGACACGTGTGCGCCGTACCGCGTTGGCGTCTCCCGAGGCGTCGTCGATCTTCGACCCAGGAACGGCACGGTGCACAGTTTTTTCGGCCCTGAAAATTGTGCACCGTACCGCGCTGGAGCGGAGCCTGAAGAGGGTCAAAACCTGGTGCGGTGCACAGGCGCCGTTCTCGTACATTCGTCGCGTGCCACTGGCATCCTCAGCTCTGCCAACTTGCCACGCGACGCCCGCACGGACCCAGAAATCCATAAACTGATAACTCCTGAGGGGCTGCGGCCCCGCCGCCGACCTCAGGAGGCGCTCCGGGCGCGCGCGCGCGCGGAGCGGCATCTCAGTATCCTTTTGCCGACCCCTCTCCCCGTCCCCATCCCCATCCCCATCCCCATCCAGACCCCCACCGTCTCACTTCCTCGGTTGGGGATGTACCCCTCGAAGCGCGAAGGAAACGGCCTTTATCCCTATCCAGGGGGTAAATCGGCCAGTGCGGCCCAGGCCACGCCCATGGAGATAGGGGTCGTTCAAACGATGCTCAGCGTCGGCGCTCGCCTCGCCTCGCCTCGCCCACCCTTTGCTCACGCTCCGCCCTGCCAGGGTCTGTGGGGTGCCTCCTCTGGGCTGCTCCTTCGCAGGCGTATCGGCGCCCCGGGGCCCACCCTCGAGAGGAGCAAGGAGGTTCCTGACAATGATGCGTTCCAGGAGTTCCAGGGTTTCCCAAGGATGCGTTCCTAATGCTCCACGCGGCAGCAGAAACGAGGGACGCTAGATACTCAGGAATCCCCGGAGCGCATCCTCAGCCAATCGCATCACGGCATCACTCCGGTGCTGCACCCGCCCATTCGCGGCAGGGCATGGCGGGTTTCTACCGCGCCTACATGCCGCACCAGTTCGTGTGGATCCCCTATAACGGTCTCCTCGCTCGTTTTCTGGGTCGAGTCCGCCTGCCCCGAAGGAGGGCAGGCGCGCGGCACAGAGGCAAACGGATGGTCGCGTCCTCGCCTTGTTCCCTCCCTCTCTCCTCGAAGAAGAACAAAATGATCCCAGTGCGACCCTACCTAGGAGTTGGAACATTTAGGAAAGCAACATCTACATCTACACCGACATCTACATTTACATCTACACCTGCATCTACATCTACATCTACATCAACAGCGAGACTCACATCTACATCTACACCTACATCTACACCTACATCTACATCCACATCTACATCTACACCTACATCCACATCTACACCTACACCTACATCTACATCCACATCTACATTTTCGCATTGGTTTTGTTTTTGCTTTGCATTGCCTTTGCTTTTGCTCTTGCCTTTGCTTTTGCCTTGGCCTTTGCTTTTGTTTTTGCTTTGGCTGTGGTATTGAATTGCTTTTGTTGTTGCTGTTGCTTGATTTTGTTGTGCTATGATATGGTTTGCTATGACTTGTACTGCGTTTTGTTATGCTATGAATTGCTTTGCTTATGTGTTTGCGTTTGTTGTTGTTGCTCGTGTTTCGTTTTTTGCATTGTTATGCTAAACAATACTATGCTATGATAGGCTATGCTATACTATGCTGAACTATGCTATGCTATGCTATGATATGCTTGGCTATCATATGCTATGCTATGCTGTGCGAATGCTGCGCTGCGCTATGCTGCGCTAAGTTAAGCTAAGGTAAGTTAAGATATGCTAAGCTAAGCGAAGCTAAACTAAGCAAAGCTAGGCTAAGCTAAGCCAAGCCAAGCTAAGCTAAACTAAACTAAGCTGAACTCAGCTAAGCTAAGCTAAGTTTGTTGCGCTAAGTGAAGCGAAGCTAAGCTATGCTAAGCGAAGCGAAGCTAAGCTAGGCTAGGCTAAGCTAAAGCTAAGCTAAGCCAAGCCAAGCCAAGCCAAGCCAAGCCAAGCGAAGCTAAGCGAAGCTAAGCTAGGCTAAGCTAGGCTAGGCTAAACTAAGCTAAGCTGAGCTAAGATGAGATAAGCTAAGCTAAGTTAAGCTTAGCTTAGCTAGGCTAAGCTGGGTGAACCCAGGGGGCGCAACTGGGGGAACCGCGGGGCGGATGCCGGGGGAACCGCCTGGGGCGGGTTCCACTGCCCAGCCCCTTTAAGATACAGGGTAAGAACCCTTCTAGGCAGAGCCCAGGTCGGGAATAAACAAGACGCTCCGCTCTGATTTTTTTGGGATCCGTGCTGGACCTCCCTGGCGGCGCCTCCAGCGTCGCCCCTGGCGCCCTCTGCGCGCCAGGGAGCAGGACCAACGCCGATCCAAGAAATCCGCACATCCAAAGTGGGGATCTTGTGTTCTTCAGGCCCATGGAGTCCTCCTCGCCTCCTCATTTTCCGTCGTGTTTTTCGTGGCTCGAAGGGCTACTTGAAGAAAAATTGGATTTACATAAGTTTCGGAGGTCAGCTCGGATATTCTGGATCGACGCCGAACACCCATCCTTGACGACCGAATCGCGCCAGGGGGCGGCACCGGGCGCCGCCGGGGAGGCCCCGCGCAGATCCTAGAAATCCGCGCAGACGTCCGAATGTTTATGTTGATGCCGTCCTTTCTTCCTCTATTCTTAGCCGATCTTGGAGCAATCTTGAGGCCTGAGAGGCGAAACGGCGAGGAGGCCAGATACGCTTTGCTGATTTTGACCCCGCGGGGGCCCTCTCCAAGCAGCTGGACGCGCCCACGTCGCGCCGTTTCTGGGGGCCTCCCCCAGCGCGCCTGAGCGCTCCGGAGGCCCTCTTTGGCCTCCTCGAGATGGCTGTCGGGCTGGAGCCCGCTGGGGCCGCGCGGTCGGCCTCTTGTCGGGGAAACGTGACACTCGACTTCGTCGGAACGCGGGTTTGCCGGCGCATCGTGACGGGCCCGTCCTGGATCTTGACGGTCCAGTCTTCGTGGAGTGTTTTCAGCGGGAGTTCGCGTCAAATTTCAGGTTGGGTCTCGCCATTTTCTTGACGGCCCCGTCAGGCCAACCCTTCCCCTGAACCCGAGTCTGACGTCTCCCCGATGTTGCTTTTCTCGGAGAAGGAAATCAAACAAACCTAAATGTTCGACGGTCCGCGCGGATTTCCTGGATCGGCGCTGGGCCCCTCCTGGCGGCGCCTCCAGCGCCACTCATTGCGCGCTCCGCGTGCCAGAGAGAGGGGTCTGGCGCAGATTCAAGAACTCCGTGCGGACCGAACATCCACTCTTGGGCCCTTCTGGGGACACTCTTGGAGCCCTCGGGTGCTAAGCTCCCACACAAGCTGATTTGGGCAGCTACCTACAAAGGGCGGGTCCCCCCCTCCCAGTTAGGCTCGAGACCCGCCCCCAGACCCCGGACCACCCCCCCGACCCCCCCACGACCCCGTCCCCGGACCCCCCTCCCGGGCCACCACCCCGGACCCACCCGCGAGACCACACCCCCTTTTAGAGAGTATACACCGTTAGGGGCGGGGCGATGCGGATGCGTTGGAGTTGGCGTGCGCTTGGGGGTGGATGTCAGCGTGGGCGTGGGCGCGGGCGCGGGTGAGGGCGTGGGTGTCGGCGTGGGCGTGGGCGTTGGTGTGGGCGTGGGCGTGGGTGTGGGAGTGGGCGTGGGCGTGAGTGTGAGCGTGGGCGTGGACCCGGGCGTGTGCGTGGGCGTGGGCGTGTGCTTGGGCGTGGGTGTGGGTGTGGGCGTGGGCATGGGTGTGAGCGTGGGTGTGTGCGTGGGCGTGGGCGTACGCATTTGTGTCCGTGTGGGTGTGGGTGTGGGTGTGGGCGTGGGTGGTGTGTGGTGTGTGGTGGGTGTGTGGGCGTGAGCGTGGGCCTTGGCTTTGGCGTGGGTTTGGTTTGGGTGTGGGTGTTGGTGTGTGGGTGTGAGTGTGCGCGTGTGTGTGTGTGTGTGTGTGTGTGTGTGTGTGTGTGTGTGTGTGTGTGTGTGTGTGCGTCTCGCCCGAATGATGTCGGCCGCATTTTTGCCTTTGAGCGGTGTACGGGTCGAAGTCCCTGTTGCTGGATTCAATTGTTGGTATCTTTGGCAATGGCTCCCTCGAACTCGTTGCGCTCGCAGGAGCTCGTCTTGGATCAGGTGAACTCCACCTTGTCCTTCCGCCGCTGGTTGACGACAAAGCTGTCCAGGATGTGGTGCATCGTCCCTTGGCGTCCCTCGGGCGTCGTGTTCTCGGCCAGGAGAGACTCGCAGTGGACGGTCTGCTGCTCGTCGCTGCCGAGAGATGTCTAGCTTGTCTTGGAGGAAGTTGACCAGGAGGTTGGACTCATCTATCGACGCGTCAGTCATCTCCACGTCGAGACGCTTCTGCCGTTTCTCAGGGATCACGTGTAGGTCCAGCGCAGGTCCACGGTGAGTCATCCGCCATCTTGGACGACTTTGGCCCTGGGTTGCGGCGCCGGAAGCCGACGAGGATGTTCCTCCATGTTGAGGTGGAGACGGTGTTCCTGAACCATGTGTGGTCGGTGCTGAGGTTGGCGGTCTCGTTAGTGGTGGTGTGAGAGCCGTAGTCCGGTCCGCCGAGCGGGACGGAGGTGAGCGAACACGTCTTCCTGGTTTGTCACTCGGCTCGCGTCCTGGCTGCGTCGCCGAGCTGGGCGTCAACTGTCTCGAGGTTGCCAGAGCGCCAGCGGCTTCGAGGTCGGCACTCGGAGGCTCTTCCGCCTCGTCCATCGCCGAGGGAGGTGGTTCCTCAGCTGCGGGTATCTCCATCACTGGCTGTCGTAGTCTTGGAGATCTGGTCGGCCCTGTCCCAGGAGATCTTCCACAGTCCTCGTCTTCGCCGTCTCCAGGATCTCCGGCATGGTCTTGCCGCGATCCACCTGCCGCTGCAACTCGGTGATCACTTTCTCGGCTTCGCAGGCGGCGCGCAGCTGCTCTGGGGCGCATCTGATCACCGAGGTCGGGCGAGTCCGCCCGTCCATATGTCGCTTCTCCTGCACGAGGACCCGCGCAGGTCCGTACCAGCCGCACTTCTTCCCGGGGCGATTCTCGAGGCCTTGTCCCGCGCGCCAGAAGTTGACGAGGTCCTCAGGGTGCCAGGTCTGAGAGATGCGGTTCCAGGCGTGTTCGGCGCGACGGCGTCGTTCAGCAAATTCGATTCCCAGGAAACTCTTGCGAGCGAGGAGGCGCCGCTGCTCCTGAGTTTCTCCAGTGCCCCCGTCGGTGTTGGCGAACGGCTTGCTCGAGGCGGACATCCCGGCCACTCCCATAACGCGTTCGAACGGTGAGTGATTGCCAACCTTGCCCACGCTGTAAATCGCGTCCACGGCCCAGGAGATCAGCTCATCGTTGGGGCGCTCGGGGTCCAGGGTCGCCAACGTTGTCATCGAGCGCTTGAAGAGTTGGGTCACCTCGCGACCTCCCCCACCAGCCAGTGGGCCTCGCCTGGGGCGACCCACAGCTCGATGCCGCGGTCTGAAAACCACTTAGCAATTTCCTGTGAGCAATGGTATTCTTCAGGGCCGAGTCGGAGAAGGCTGGGTCGTCGGTGGTATCCGCGCCACGAATTCAGCGTAGAGATCACCTCGTGGGCAGACCTGTTGCCATTGCGCTCTCCTTGCTGCCCGCGGTAGATGACGCTCGCGAGGCCTGGCCCTTCGTCGAGGTTCAGCGCCATCATGAAGGCATCCTGCGTCGGATACAGTCACTCAAGGCCGTTTGAGGCCAGGGCCGCGAGCGCTGCCGGTATCTCGATTCCCGACGCCACCTCGACTGCTCTCGGTAGTTGCCCCACACGACGCCCGTGGCGCTGGAGACGCAGCGCCAAACGAAGGACCTGGAGTGGCGCCCCCGAGGCCTTGAGGAACTTATACAACGTCTTTATGCTCGGGTGGTCGAGGTTGCAGTTGAGCCGCATCATCCGCTTCTCGATCTCCAGCTCTTCCTTCTTCGTCGGGGTCTCCGAGATCCCGAAGCCCCTCATGATCGTGTCATCGCCCATGATCTCCGGATCGTCCTGCAGAAGGTCTTCGTCGAGAGCCACCTCCTGTTCCTCCTCGGGCTTCTCGGGGATCTGCTCTAACCCTGCGAAGATCTCCATGCCGTGCTGGGCGCTCGTGTTCCGCAGGATGTGCTTCGCCCAGGCCTTGCACTGCGCTGCGCGGTAGTGGGCAGTCTGAGCCGCCGCCCGACCTTCAAAAGAGCGCGCCCGCAGCGCCGGGAATAAGGAAAGGCGGGCCCCAGCTTCAAGCCCCCCCCCCCCCTCCCAGCCAAAAGGAGGGGAGGGTGGCTTCCGAAGCTACCCCGCCCCCCCCTCCCTTCTGCGGGAGGTCTCGAGCTAGGGGGGCCTGGCTGCTAAAGGCGCGGGGGGGGGAGGGGGGCTTCGAAGCTACCCCCCCCCCCCCTGTCCGGAGCAGAAGGCGAGCCCGGGCTTTCCTTTCAGAGGGGGGATGGGGGGGGGCTTCGGAAGCCCCCCCCTTCTTTTTTTGGGGGGGGTTGGACGCGGGCGGGGGGGGCGGCTTCAAGCCAACCCCGTCCGCCCTCCTTTGCAAGGGGGGGGGCCCGAAGCTACTGCCCCTCCCCCCCAAATATTGTATAATAGGATGTCTGAGGACCCATGGGTCGTTTTCTGGGTGGCCTGCCAGAAGGACTCGCGAAATCATTCCATGGGCAATTTCGATGGTCCTCCCCCGGACCTCTCGCGCATTAAGGAATGGCATTAATTCCTATCCCACGTTGACCCGATCACGACATTGACATGCAATTTTTATATTGGGCCGCCAGGGGATCCAAGGGGCAGAATTATACGAACACGCGGTCCCGGGGAAGTAATTGGACCACTTCTAGGGGCCGCAAAACGCACCTGCATGAGAGGTGTAGGCCATTTCGTCACAATCAGAACCATTGACCGACGCACGGATGGAGCTGTTCTCATGAATGTTTGGGGGCCCTCCAGGAATAAGCTCCACACGGCGCCGCCGCTGATGGATGGGGCATTCATTTTCCACCCCCAGTCGTCAGAGGAGGCCCCAGTGCAAAGACAAGTGCAGTCGAACAGGCGCTGACCAAGGAGGCCCTGGATGGGGCGCCGCGAATGGGGAGAGTTGCAGGAAGCCCCGGCCCAAGAGGGCCAGACTGCGCTCGGCGACACAGCCGACTACGCAAGGAGGATCGCCCTCGAAGGAGGATCATTGCCCAACTCAAGAGGCAAACACTCCGCAGAAGCAATTAAGCGACATTAAAGGACCGGGGCCAGCCAAGACTGCCAAGGTCGAGAAAGTCGCCAACGCTGAGGAAAGGACGACGTCTTCCGAAACCTCAATGAGTTTTCCTGATGGCCCCGTACATGCCCCGACAGGAGGCGGCCCTTCGGGCTCTGGTACTTCGCATGGTGCTCTCGGCGGTAATACTGCTGCCAGCTTTCCCTCCGCCGGCTCAGCCGGGGGTTGGGGAGCGTCATCTGGGTCTGGGAATGGTGGCGGAGATGCTGGACGTAATCCCGGTGCGCCAGGTGGAAGCGGAGGTGGTGGCCCTCCTCCGGGCCCTGGCCCTCCGCCGCCGCCCCTCTCGGGTGGGGCGGGCGGAGAATTTGACCGACTTTATTTATTTGGCACGTGGTATCTGGAATGAGCTGCAACATAGAGCGCAAACAGGGGCCGGCTCAGCCGCGCCCCTGGACCGTGCCGAGATCTCAGGAGAATGGGCCCGTTGCATCCAGGAAATAGCTTTGTTGTACATCGACGTGGTAGATTATTCCCTTCGTGGCTCGATGGCATGGTTCACTATTTAGAAGAAATGTCAGGCCATTGCGAAGTTGGTGGAGGTAGCGGAGGTGCACGGTCGCGGATGGATTCCTTTTAGTGGCGAAGATCTGGCCGCAATGGCGCGGACTGGCAGACTTCCGAACTAATTTTTTCGACCGCTGGCTCAAGCGACCCATTCGTCGCGGAAGTTTTGGACAGCTGCCATCCATATTGTCTCGGACTCGACGCGTCAATTCCGTAGCGCCCAAGAAAGAGAACTTGGTGGCGATTTGGCCCCCCCATGCGATATGCGAGATCATTTTCAAGGCCTGATTGGAGACGCACAGGGGGCTGCCTGCGGATGAAACTATTAGATTATATGACGACGCTGGGGCTGTGGAGTAAACCAGCCTTCATCAAGACGGGAAACTTCATCCCGGGACAGCATGCGCAGACGCAGTTCATACTTGGGTCCCTGAGCGATATCTCTGACGGAGATCTATGCAATAGACAGGGAATAAGTGGAACGAAGAAAGAATCCCCCGGGCCCCAAATGCCACCTGCAGTGCTTGGGTCATTCTTCGAGACCGCTGAGAGAATGATCGATGAAGCGGTGAATCGCTCCAAGTCGGGAGTAATTCAAATCTTGTGCGTTGGCGGAGACCATCGACGGTGGCAAGCAGCAAATGGTGCCTCTAATATGGATGTCATGTGGGACGACATTGCCACGTTGCTGCGAGCGCGTGTGAATCAGCGCATTGAGAGCTACAAAGCTGTGGGGATCCAACCCAGAATCACGATTTTGGACGGCGCTGGTCTGTGTCGAAGATTGCGTCACCCCACATCAGACGCGCGCCATTTTCTCCACAGCATGATTCATACACATCGGACAAAGAAGGGGTACCCACCGAGGCAGCTGCGGCTGAGGTGTTTTTATGATCATATGTTGAAGGCGGCCAAATTTTGCGGCCTGGATATTCTGACAGCCCTCTGGTGGCTCAGCCGCTCGGGGGTTTGTCTATGAAAACAGGCTGCGAGCAGATGGGCATGCGCAGGTGGAAGCCACATATGATGAACTAGTTTCGTATTGGACTGATTGGTGCCCCACAGAAAACGGCACACCGAAGTCTATGTTGGGCACGTTCCAATTTGCTGATCCTCTTGAGAAGCATGAATTCCCAGCCAGTTCAACTGGCACTGGACAAGGTGCGCGACATTCCTTTTTCTCCCAAGAGTGGCGTATTTTCATTTCGACAGAACCAGGGCATCATACCGATTTGCAATGGAGTGGGTTCCGCTACTTTCTTGAAAGGAGCTTGCCGCACATTCCCGGCATGGCCCCTGGGAGGAAAACCACGATGATCAATGCAGGCAACGGGCGATGTCAGCTTTGGAAGGGCCCCAGCCCGATCTCCAGTCCTGCCGGCACGGCCGCTCGGGTTGTTTGGGGGGCCGCGGAGGCGCAGCCCGCCGCTGGACACGGCGATCAGTGGCAGGTCGAAACAAAGGGGGCTGCACTAACTGCCGGCTCTACCGGCTCAGCCGCGCAGGTCTCGGGTAATGCGGGAGGTCTTGCTGGAATTGGCTCAGCCATAAGTCCAACAAAGCACCGAGCGCGGTCAGTTGAGCCTACTAAGGCACTGGCCGCTGAATCTCCCCTGGATCGCTGTGAGCGGATGATGAGGGAGAAGTGCCCTGAGCATAAAGGAGGAGCAGTGGGCAATAATCAGGAAAACGCCCCCTCCTGTGGACCATGACGGCGCTCGCAAATGTCCCGTAAAATGGTCGCACCAGACCGCGACCACTGCGATCGAGGGCAACGATAGAATTGTGTTCTTGAAGCCCTTGAATGCCAAAGAGCTGGCCGAGCGCCTCTGCAGCTCGAATAGTTTATGGCTTGGAGAAAGCTATGAGGAGTTGTTGCATAAGGTAAAGAGCAACCAAACGTTCGTGCATAGTGATGTTTTTTTCAAGCGCCTGTGTGCGTCGTCGCAAGGGGGCCAGTGGTTAGCAGAACACTTGCTTCGAGCAACGACTAGGCGACCAGTTCTCCTTGCAGAATATGCGATCCCGAATTGGGCAGAATTCTTTAGTGCACGACGTGATCGTTCAGTGGCGGGGGGGCCGAGAACCATTGCGGACTGCATCATGTGGGATAAAGCAGCAATCCAAGAGCATGCAGAAAAGGAATACCGTGTCCAACCGACGCCCCCCCTCAAGGTGAACGAGAAGAAATTGGAAGAATTGGTCGCAGACAACTGGACAAGGCAGTCCCACGGAACATCCGTAGGGACACTTCATGCACTTTTGGAAGGATACCAGATTCTCCCATCAGACCCTGAGTACGGGGCAACCAAAGAAGTCGAATGTTGGAATATAATCATTCTCACTTGCTGACGATAGCCCTTCAATTCGCACGCGATACGCGATGGCAGAGGAAGCGTTCAACGACGGGTACTGGAATACCGCGGAGGCCGTGTTCTGGAGTAGCCCGAAAGCCGTTGCCGGTGACGGTGGTCCCATACAACGATGCACGGTGAAACCCGATCAGATAGTAATGATTGATATAGGCATTTACCATTTGACCCCCGCCGCGCACTTTGCAAACGGGGGCGGCACTTGGACGTTCATGAGAAACCAATTGCGAGACGAAGAGGCTATACATAAATATTTCAACAAGGAACCAGAAACGAGCTGACATGATACACAGAGTTAAATACCAACAGTGCCAGTGGGTTCTTGGACTCCTTCCAATAGAATAGCCATGAAAATGCTTCGCCGTGCCTCGATTATCATCCTTCGATGGGAAATGGGAAACGTTTGGACAGACTTAAGAGACAAATGATGCCGCATTGCATGCGAACTCTCGCTTTTGGACGGAGCAACAGAACTGGATAGTCGGATGGCTAATAGACGAACCTGTGATGATACCAGAGCCCGGCCAACCGAGTGCGGGCGATAATAAGCCCCCTGGGATAATACAGTTAGCAGCTCCCGCAAAGGATGTTCCCAGGGAAGGTAAGCCATGATGACGATGATGATGATGAAGATGACGACGATGATGGAGGAGGAGGAGGTTGAACCAGGCGCGCGACAGAAGCCTGACTCAAGCGATCTCGAGGCTCGTGGCTACTTGCCCGCAGAGGCGCAGGACGCATGGCTGACTCGAGCGATCTCGAGGGTCGTGGCTAAGCAGGCGCTTAGATTTTGCCAGCGCTAGAGAGGTCCGTGGCCGATCTGGCCAAAAAAAACCCTCTTGCGCTGGACTTCGAACCGCTCTCCTATGCAAGCTCGGCATCCTTTGGGGCCGTCCTTGCGTGGGGAAGACTTGGTGCAAAGCTGGGCGGCGGCGCTAGCCTCCTCGTAGCTCGGCCGCCGTGGGGCCCTTGCAAGGGTTGGACTG